GTAAAATACAGTGATTAAATCACTCAGAAAATTGCCATAAAAGGGATAAAAGAATTGTTGTTAATCAATAATTGCGATGTTTTAATATAATCCAATCAATAAATTCATAATTAAAATTTTTAAATAAATTTTTTTTGAAAAGAATAAGTAAATAATCAGTTAACTCTGTGAAAAGCTTGCAATAAGCTTTGAGTTCATGCTCACATTCTCCAAAAATAGTAAATAACTGAAGTAATATTGAAGAGGTCACGAGCAAATCATCGAAGGTCTGATGATATTTTCAATGGATGATATAAACAGTCAAAATTTCAAAGGCGAAACAGCGCTGCACTCTGCTGTACTCTCTGGTAGTGTGTCATGCGTTGTTCGACTTCTGAATGCTTTGACGCTGGACCCAAACATACAAGTAACTGAATTTTAGCGAAAAACAATCACTGTTTCTTGAATAATTTATTCAAAAAATTAATTTTAATAAGCGGTTAGAAGAGAATTCTCGTGACGAGCATTTTTGTTTCATCTATAACTTTTGATAATTAGTTTTTAATTTCTTATCATTTAAATAATTTTGCTTGCATCACTCGATCTTTAAGTTTTATAGAATTTTCAGTCAGCTTCGATAAAATCTATAATAATATGCTGTTAGCAAAGGCTCTCTGAATAAAAAATTGTAATTGAGTTGTGTAATAATTTAATAATTTAGTACTTGGATTATGTTCAGGATAATGATGGTAACACCGCTTTACATGTTTTGTCGACTTTGAATAATATCTCAACTCGAGAAGCAATACTTCACCGATTATTATCAAACATGAGGGTTGATCAGTTGGTAATGAACAATGATGGACTGACACCTTTGCAAGTGGCAATCATTAGTAACCAACAAAAGTATGTTATTTTTAGCTAATCTTAACAGTAAAAAATTTCCCAATACTAAACTAATGAGATTAACTTGAGAAAACTTAAAATGAGCTCCGATTTATTATCACTTTCTGTTTGATACAAAATATATTAGTGGTAAATAAAGATATACTTATAATTCACGGCAATCTTTTGTTCAAATATAATTAAAATAATCAAATTTGCAAAATTTATTCATATTAACTTTTTATGAAAATGTGAATATCAATCATTATATCATGTGGCTTTTTAATAATTTAATAAAGTTAGTCATAAATTAATAAAGTTCTTGTAATATTTTTGATAGAGTAGTGGAGTCAATGATCCACATGAAGCCATCACTTCTGGTATCAAACAGCTGCCATTCTTTGCCACCACTACATCTTGCAGCTGCTTATGGCCATGCAAAAGTACTAGAGACTATTCTTCGAGTAAAAATTTACAATTAATCAGTAATTTATATTTAGTAATTTAATTTTTGTTCTTTTTTTATTTTTAAAAAGGATAAAAATAGAATTCAGTGCTGATATCAAAGTGACCAAAGTTTGATCAAATGTAATTTATGTGTTCTTTACTCGTGGCATAAAATATTTTGCAGTATTCTGACGTGAATAAAACAACTAAAGCTTCTCGGACAGCGTTACATTTTGCAGTTGAACGTTGGGATGGTAATGCTGATCAAGACATGCAACGACTTTCTTGCATACAAGTATCAAACTTTAATTACATCAGTAATACAAAAAGAAAAAAGATTTGTTACAAATGAAATTGTTAGTTTTCACATAACAAATTCTTTCTAGCTTACAACGTGTACATATTATTTTCATTTAATTTATTTCAAACTTACAATTACCGAATTTATTTTTATCCCTACTAATAATTATTGTATTATTAAAAACCGTATTCTCATTAATACCAATGCTCCTGAACCTCCGCATGCTTACTACTTTATTATTAATTTAAAAAGTTTATAAAAGAATAAAGCAAGTAATAAAGATAATTATTAATCTTATTATTTGATAATAATTACTTGGTGAAATTTGATTTGTATGACAATTCTGAGGTGTCAAATTTAAGTCACTTGTGTCGACGGGTGTCCCCTTGAACACTCGGGACTGCGATGGCATGACTGCGTTACATTTAGCTGCGCAAACAGTACAAAATCAAGTTGCAATAACTGAAAATAAAATCAACGCTGTCTTACAAATGAAAAAATCAAATATGGTGATCAGTTTTATCACAAAAGTCAAATTTAGTAATTGATTTTATTGCTTATTTTCATCAGAACTTCTAGAGATTATCATACAACAGTATCATCAGAAAAGAAGAGGGAAAACTAAATTCAAATGTTTGAAGAATAAAAGCTACAGAAAAGAAGAAATATCATCTAAAAAATGTTCAAAAATTTTTACAAAATTAGTTACTAAAACAAATCTTTGAACATGAAATTCTTAAAAATTATAAAATTTAAACTTTTTAGTAGAAAAATTTTTTCAGAACAAACTTCTTGTAACTCTTAAAGATTTGCCAGTTAAGCTTAAAGCATTTCGAGTTGTATTTTTAGGTTTATAGAGTAAAATTCTAGAAAAAAAAGAAAAAAGCATTATTTTTTAACGCAAAATAAATCAAAATTCAGCGCTTAGAAGAGCTTGCCTCTGCCTTACGACCACAATGGCCGGCTGCAGTGATTTGTTTTTTGATTGCGCACGGAGCTGACCCATTTATCACTGATCGTTCTGGTTGTACGACCTTTGAACTGGTCAAGGAAGCTAGCTTAAAATTGCTGTTTGAACAATATGCAGCCTGCCGACCGAGGCACACATTCATATCAATATCTCGTTTTCATTAGAAGTTGTCTGAAAAAGCTTTACGAACAATCCTAGAAACCTCACTCAAATTTTTAATTGTGTAACATAAATTAGCAAAAATAAAGACTAGCTTTTTTGACAATTTTCTAACTCAATCATTAAATATTTGATAATTTCGCGTAGTTGAACTTCTGATTTGGTTTCTTTCTGAATTTTGCGATTGCTCGCATATTAGTAAATTCAGTTCATTTATGCTTTTTGGCTTAGATTTGCAAAAATCAGAAAAAATATTATAATTGCACATTTTCCTCTATCCTACAGTTATTTTTTGCTCACTTACAGAAATTAATTAACTTTTGTTGTTTAAATGCTTTTTTAAAAATTGCTCATGCATACAAAATTTGCATTTGTTTGATTTTTTATCATTTTATTTGCTAAGAAAAAAGCAATCTTTCGTATATTCAATTTTTAAAGAATATTGGAATTCGAAAAAAAGGAATTTTTATATATGTACAAAAATTGTTACAAAATAATAAATTGATTATGGGACATACTTTTATTTCTAAAAGTTTGCATAAATATTCAATATTGTGCCATTTTACGCGAGTTTTTCCGAGTTACTCTTTTGTTAATTTTACAACACTAACTTCCTTTTTATGTTAGGAAAAATAGTTTGTGACTGTATTTCTGCGAAATTACTTAGTGCTATTTTCTGTTCAGTACGTTTTAAAAGTTAATGAAAAACTTAAACAAAATTTCAGGTTCTTTAAAGTTTTTTAATTTTGCCTTATATGCAATCAGATAAGGAGACTGATTTCAGGTCATGCATCCCTATGAGCAGTTCCAGTGCACGAGTTTTTGACACTTCTGGCGTCACAATGTGTACGTTTAATTGTGATGATAATGTAGCAGATATTGTCTTTGTACCTTGTGGTCATCGTGTGGTCTGTACAACGTGTGCTGGTAGCACTTTACTTCGACGTTGTCCGTTGTGCTATCAGCAAATAATCGCAGCAAAAGATTCCTGTATGTAAATCAATTACGTAAAAAACTACTTTAAATATATTATTTTATTAAATTTACATTTCTGTAGAAAGACTTTTTCAACTATTACAGTAACAAAAAATTATTTTGTAATGAAAAGTTTGCATAACTGATTAATATTAGAAGAGTATGAGTTAGCACAAGAAAACAACTCTAACACATATATCACTGAATGCTACAGCTGGTGAAGAAGTAAAAATTGGTAGTAAAATAATTCAAAGTCGAAAATGCAAAGGATTAAGACTGGATGAAAGTATAAAATTAATTAATGAATCAGAAATTCAACGAATTGCGCAAGAAGCAGTTGAACGTGCCCAAAAAGCTGCTGAAGCAGGTATTTATCAAATATTTACAAAACTTCTTTCTCATTTTATGCAAATGACTAACAACTTCATGTACTACCAGAACATTTTCTAGACAGTACTTAAAATGCTGAAGAAATATATATCGAAATTTTGTGATTCTTTGAAAATAACAAATATCGCACTAAGTAAACATATAATTTTGCAACAAATCAGTGTCTTAATTTTCCAGTGTTTATTAAATACATATTACACAGACTAATATTATACCAAAACAAATATAGAATAAGTTTTTGAATACATTTTTTGCATCAAATTATGTGATTTGTGCATTAATCATATTTGTATGTAAAATATAGTTGTTTTGTATTAACGTACTTTCACGTATATTTTGCATTCAAACAATGCACACACTAACTTTTTTGCTTATACATATGATGCCACTTGCATTATGTTAATTTCAGAAAAAAATGAAATAGTACATATGTTACGTGATAAGCTTGAACAACTAGAACTTGAAGTCACGTGTGCAATTTGCATGGATCAACGCTGCAGTATTGTCTTCCAATGTGGTCATACAGCTTGTTCAGATTGCAGCAGTCCATCGAAACTAAAACTTTGCCATATTTGTAGACAACCTATAAAACGTCGGACAACCATTTATACCTAAAACTGTTCGGTTTAACTTTTAAAACAGAGAAGCTAATTGAATGTGCAAAAGTTTTTTAGCTTTGAAAAAATTCGCTCTAAAATAAATGCAAAAAAAAAATTGTAATTATTAAAAATATTATTTGTTGCCGAATATGAAAACAAATATTTTGTGTGACATTTTGCCAATGTTTTTGAGTAATCTTAAAAATAGTTGCAAATTATTTTATTTTTAACTTTTTTCTCAATTTTTGTTATTGTGCATTAGAGCATGCATGTGTTCATAATTACTTGAAACATACAAATCAAATATTCATGAATAGTGAGGAATGATGAATTATTGTACAGTACTGGAAAATCTTATTGATCATTGGCAGCCATAGTAAAGCATCACACTTTGACTTGAAGTTAGCTCTAGACTAAGTACCGAATGCAGAAACTTAGTTTGTAATTCTAGACTATATTCAAACAAAAGTTGTGCAATTAGAATCAGACCCAAACTGTTAATTACTGTAATTATTTGATTATGCCTAAAGTTATGTTATATACAGTAAAACTAATTAGTGTTGAATGGTTCTTTCTAATTTCTTTTTTGAAATGAAAATCAAAAATTTATCAATTAATAATCAAATTGCCAATTATTTCACTAATTTTAATGAAGTTCGATTCTATTTACAAAATCACTGAAATAATTTTTAAAAAAAAACTAAAAAGCAATGCAAAATAGAGTTTTCTATTGCTAGCAAAATTTGGTGTGTTAACAACTCTAGAGCACAGTTTTTTAATTTGAATTTAAATACTCATAATGGAGTTCTATCCATAGTCATATTAATTACGATACTAAAAAACAAATTAAGTAAAATTTTGATAATTCAAATAACATTAAAGTGTAAATAAGACTTGAACTGTTTTAGTGAACTTTAAGAAGTAAAATGAAAGACATGCAATTGCTGTGTAAAACTGATAAATTTGAAAGCACAAAGAATCAGTTCAATTTGCAACTAAAGCTTTAAGTAGATGAAATGATTTCTTGGTAATCGAATTGCGACTTCAAATTATACAACTAAATATATTGTCAATAAATAATATGCATAACATGAATATTAAGAGATCAATTAATCCTTGCCTATTTTCGGCATTAAGATTTGGTCCAAAAAGGATTTATGAATAAATCAAAGACAGTAATTACTACTCCAAAAAGTTTTGAACTACAGAATGAATCTTCAGTGCAATTTTCAATTGCACTTCATTCAGTATCAGAGCTTAGAAGTCTTTTAAAACGCGCAGAAGATTTAGATTTATCAATAATAGTGTAATCGTGGACTGGAATAGTTTGATCATTATCAGTATGCTTCTGACTAGTGTTCATCACCAAAACAGCTGTATTCCGGCGGCGATTTGTTGCAGTCGAGAGAAAACTTGTTTCCGATGCAAATGATTCTCGACACTGACCACAAATAACTCTTAAATACGAAAGTTACACTAATTTGCATGCTCGCAATTCATTCATTTGTTATTTACTAGAAAAATAGTCCTCAGAATGCTTTACGTACTTTTTTATTTTTATATCAAATTTTTTGCAGAATTTTTTGAAAAAAATGATTTCACGAATTTTTATCTTTTCATCTATTATTATCGAAAAAAACATCAAATATGCAACATAAACTTAATTTCAAACTTTTTATTCACAATTTTAAACTTAAAACCTACCTTGTATAAATAGACCTGAACTCACGTATTCGAAAATAACAAAACGGTTGTAGAAGTGCATGTAAACACATCATAGTTTGAAAACCCCACCTCACGTAATACGTTGTAGTCCTCGAGATATCAAAACGTGAGCTTAACAAATTTAAATACGTGAATTGAAAATCAAGAGTAATTATGATATATATAACACTAATGATGCCCAAAAACAAAACGTCAAGTGAACAGTTTTTATTAATTTTTTAAAATCATATGAATAGTTAGAGCCACTGGCATTCATTAAACTATATAATATACCTTTTAAGCCGACTGACGAATAGAAATTTGATGGCTGAATAAGAGATTAGATAGACAATATAAATTGACAAAACACTACCAATGACAATTACATATTTGTTTCTTCTTAATAACTGCCTTTTTGTTCTATTCAACTCTTCTAAATGCAAAAGCTTTATCCAAGCTCGAAATTTGCATATTTTGTCTGCTCATTCAGCAAACATAGCAATGAACAAAGTTTTCATGTCGCGCAGTAATTAAATTTTGTGAAAGTATCAAACAGAATTGAAGCTTTGATAGATAAGCTTAGCGTAAAGGATAATGAATAATATTATCAATCATTTATACTTTAAGAGAACAAAAGGTTAAATATTTATTCTTCACGAAAATTTATTATATAAGAATATTTTTCTAAACTTTTTAGGATAGTCAAGTAAATTTGTTCCATTAACACATACAACCCAAAGAAAGGTTAGTTAGTAATAATAATAATGATAACAATAATTATTATAGTGTCATTCATGATAATAATAATAATAATAATAATTTAATTATTCTACAGGAATAAATAGTTATTGCAATATATTAGACGGATTTTCAGAAAGCATGGAAAAAATAGCAATTTAACTTACCATTTTTATGAGTGTCTGATGAATAATCATGGCTGATCATGACCTTAAAATATTTCATGTGAAAACTACAAATGTTTTTAATTAAGTAATAAAACAGGGATTACTTAGGAAGAAATCAATACCAATTTTTGAAAATGAATAATAAAGTGAAATAAAAATTGTTAAAAAGTTAACCGAAGTGTCAGTTCGAATGATTTTTGAAATCACTCTGATCAGTGCACTGTAACACACAATAGCAATAACAAGACATACAAAACAAAATACAATAATGACAATGTTGTACACATATTCCATTTCAGTCGATGTTTGTCCAGTACGTACAAAACATGCTGCAAATAATAAAAGTAGAAAAAGCATTTGCAGTTTGGCTAATTTATAATATACTAACTTTGTTTAATTAAATATTGCTAAAATAATTTTTTTGTTTTTTCTGCAAATTAGGCATTTTTAAATGGTATCTTTTAGAATAGATATCTCAAGTCTTATGCACTATTTTTTTAAATAATTCAAAACCTTTGAAAAAATTTAGTCATTTAAAAACAAAATAAAAGTTTGCAAAATTCAAGCAAATTTTTTAAGAAAAACAAAAGTACAGATATTTTAATAGTTTTTGCGTGGTAGCAAAATAGTTAGAGATTAATTGCTCATTGCATAGTTTGTTTAAATTTGAATTCGATCAACAAGTTCAAATGGAATTCGCGTAAGGCGAAATGCCACGCGTAGATCACGTTAATTCAGTACAAAAGTCAACTGCTCGTTCTTAGTACTATTTTAATAGCAAAAATATTCAGTAAGTAATATAACTGCATCTATTCAATGAATAATGTTTAAAATGTCTATTATTCATTGGAAAACTTGTAAATTTAAGCAAGAAATTGTTTAGCATTAAGAACGCTTTTGATTAGAAATAAGTAAAGGGACACTTTTTAAGGGAACCTTTGCAAAGTATAATTATTATTAATGAATATTTCTGACTGCATTAATTATCACACATAATGATAGCATCATCGACCGCTTGTAAGAAGTGAAATTTTGTTTAGTCAATGGCAAATTTTATCATTAAAATGATTTTTGATAAGTTTTCGATCTTGTTTTGAGTTTTAATTTTGAAATAAGCTTTAAAACTTGCATTCCTTTTTGCCAAATTGTTTTTGCTGTACTAAGCAATCAGGCTTGATGTAAATAGACTGCTTCCGTGACCTAATGAGCAATATTGATAACGTGAATCCCCAGGCTATTAGCCAACAAGCTATTATTAATATTATTGTTCTCGCGCTGCAGCAAAATATAAACACCGTTTTACCAGTAGCAATGCAGAATATTAATCTCTTTTACCAACACATAATTAATATATTGACCAACCAAAATAATAATAATAAATATCAGACTGCGTTTTTCATGGAATTTGGATTTAACTTTACAAAAACAAGTCATATTCCTTGTGATTTAAAGTTAATTTTTTGCAGTAATTGAAGTTTTCTTTGTGGAAATAATAATGAGATAATTCGATCTGTAAGTGATAAAAGATAAAGCATGAGCTTGGATTTGATTTGATTTGAATATTCTTAATAGATCAATACTTAAAAATAGATCTTAAGATAGAGTTGCAAAATGTTGGCTTTTCAATTGCGATAATGGAAAATGACTAACTTTGTGACAAACTGTCGATAGTGAAAAGGATAAACAATATAAGCATACTCGTTTAATGTGATCATCAACAAGTTCAATATTGTTGCTAAGTTTGAGAAACGTAAAATCATTAGTGCTAATTGATCAGCTTTCATGAAATACATTGATGAGCTGATGCTCGTGGGGAGCATTTTTAACGCCCATACAATTAAGCATATGCCTAAAGAAATTTACTATTATTATCATTATTATTTGTTATAATAATAATAATTATAATAACTATTATTATTTTATTTTTTCTATCAATAATTAATCTGATAATTAAGGTGAGTAAAGTTTTATGCTTGTTAATACCTTTGTTAATCAAAAATGCATATCTATTTTTGAATTTCAGTAAGTGTTTTAAGCTTATTCTTTCTGTCAAAATTAAAATATTCATGCTTTAATGATTTTTGTTACAACTCAGTTTCATAATATGGATATCCGAATTAAATATAATAAACTTTGACTCTTCAAAAGCAAAAAAATTATTTTTGCACTTAATTATTCGTTTTCTCTAAAATTATTTTCTGCAAATTTACTGTTTCATTGCAATTAATGCAAGCAAACAAAGAAATTGAATATTTTGGCGTTCTTTTGACTTTAACTTCGCCATACTTACTTTTAAGCAAGTCTATGAGGGCAAAGTTCAAAATAAGTATGTAAAAAATGCGTGACAAAATGCTTCGCCTCATACGACACAATGCCATTATTATAGTTGCATTAAATACCATTGCGAATATGCCGCTTATAATAAAGATTGTTCCAAATATCAATGCACCCTGCGTTGGTGGCATCCAAGGTAAAGCCGTTTGCAATGATATTCTATAAGATTTATTGATTACCCCAGGGAATTCTTGAGCAAGTGATTTGCAATAAAGCTTAGTTTTAAACTAAAAGCACGAAATAAGTAAAGATTGAAATTATCGCTTTCTATTTTTAAGCCAAAAAGAAGAAACCAATGAAAAATGAATTTAATGCTTTTAAGCACACAAATGGTCAAATCTAAACTGAAAGGCAGTTATTTTAAATTTTATAAAAATGTTTTTGCAAACAAAAAGTGAAATTGTTGATGGATTAGATTTGAATTACACGCATGCAAATTTCTGTATTCGATAAAAGCAAGAAAACTTTTTGAATCTCAATTGCTGATTCAGAGGCACTATCAAAATATGTCAAATACTTACTTATCCATCGGTAAGTTGGAACTATCCATCTAAGATCTGCGAGAATTAAAAAATTCATGCAATTACTGCTTCGCCATAAATTTTAAAAGTGAAATAGCCAACAATTCACAAATAAATAAACACATTAATAAATGCTAAATTAAAGTGATTGCTCGTTTGAACTTCTATAAAAATGCATTCATTGCTATATTCCGTAAAGAAGACAGAGATTTGAACATTAGAAATCGAAAATTATAACAAAATGATAATTATTATTAAAGGATAATCACTTCTACAAAATTAGTTTGTTTTTTAAAATAATTTTATTGAGGCTTTCAAGTATGAAAATTCATTTGAAATCAAATTTATTCTGATTTAATTATTTTGAAATAAAAGACATTGCTAATTGAGCTAATCAGGGCAAATACAACATTTTTCGCAGCAACAAAAAGTTATGCATTCAAAGTAAAAATTGTTTATATTGGATCTGGTTTTACTACAAACAACAGTTGAAGGTCAATTTCAAAAATTGATAAAAGTATTGAAGTCTACAAATTTATCGACTGAGTGGACATTACATAAAAAATAATGGACATCACTTGTGATAATGAGTTTTAAATTAAAAATAAACAAGAATTAAACGATTTGGTTTTCAGAGTTGAATTGTACTAAAAGAAAAAAGCTAGCAAACCTTTCACAAAATTACAAGGAAGTATGTTCAGAGATTCCAAAAAGTATAAAGTATAGGAATAGCCAGAAGAATTTAAAATACTCATCAGATTTAAACAAATGTCTGACATTACTTACTGTATGCAAGCTTCAGGATGAAAGCTCTATAGTGACAGCTATGGCTGCTAGCAGTAATAACTGTGGCGAATACTTACAAATTAATAGAGTAATTTAAATATTTATTCATAAGTTAAATTCAAGTATTTATAGCAGTAAAAAAATAAAAATAGTGCAATTAAAATGATAAAATAAAATTTAGCAAAGAAAGCAGTGCAGTCTTGCTTTCGAGTTAAGGTAAAAATAAGCAATTAATAAAGTTCTTTAAACTAAAAGAAGAAAATTTATTTAAAGATAAATTGCAAAAAATTTGTTATCAGCAAAAAACTATTTTTTGTTGTTGCTATTTTTATAAATTTTGAAAAGACTCACTCAAAATGTCAAATTATTTTTTCAGCTACGACGAAGAAATTCAAAATAATTGAAATAAGCGTTTTTTTTTTTCAATAAACTTAACTTATCCGCGCAAAGCTCAATCTTAGTAATTAAAAGGCAATTAATTTTTGCAAAAATACTTCAGTACTCATTTTTTTAATTAAAGAAATGATTAGTTATAGCAAAAATAATTATTGTCAGAAAAAGTAGCATGAAAAGCTATTATTATAAGTTTGATAACAAAGACAACGTGAAGAGAAGAAAAAAAGCATTCGCTTTTTGGTAAATTACTCGCAAAAAATAAAGTCTCACAATTACAAAACTTTCAAAGCAATATTATTAATTTGTACAAAAATGAAAATTGCAACTTTTTTTTTCAAATTTTGATATTATAAAATTGAGAAAATAAGTAAATGCAATGCTTTTGAAGTAAAAATTTGCAAAAAAGTGAAATTAGGCGTAACTTTCATAATTCAGTTCACAAATAGCATTCATTTTTGCTGACTTTTAGCTGAAAAGTCACAAATAGCCATTAGTTATTTGACATGGAATAGGCATGATTAAAAGCATTCATTTCTAGCAAAATAGTAACTCAGATCAGTGCCACAAATAATACACTGCGAAACTTCAGAAGTAATTTATTTCATTTACATGAACGAAATTAAAAATTCCTTAAGTGAATTAAGCACAAATTCGGCGAACAAAGTTTTTTCTGAAGCTTGCTGACATTTGAAGCTTTTGAAGAAAACTGAAATTGCAGATTTGAAACTCAAAAACTATACAAAAATATGAAACAATTGAGAGAAGTAATATTTTGTGTAAATATTTACTTTGTACTCAGAAAACATTAGGGGAGAATTATTGATTAGCTAATTTAAGATGAGATTTTTGATCAATAATTAAGAAAGTAACTGATAAGATTGAAGAAAGGAAAAAGTAGAAAAAACACCCAAAAAAAAAGAAAATTTCAGATATTTTTGAGTAACCAAAAATATATCATCGAATTTAAATGATTTGAATGGTTTTACTTAAATTAAATATTGAATTGCATATTAAAAAAGTAAAATTTCAGTAAAGTTAATGAGAACAATAAATATGAGGCTAATAATATTCGTATTAAAATTGCAATTAAAATTATATTGTCTTGAATTTGAAATAAATTTTGAATACATTTTTTCAGTGTAATTTATGAATTTTCAATATTGCTGTTAACAAGCAGAATCACAAAAAATAAATCCATCCGCTTAGATTACCAAAAAAATTAATTGCTTAGCAAAATTATATAATAATTTATCTCAATATTATTTCATGCAAATATTCATTTCAAGTTCCTGTACAAAATTACACAGAAAAGTATTTACTTTCGGTAAATAACTTGAAGCTCAGAGTTCGTCATTTAATTACTATCAAAGATGGAAAAATTCAGAAAAGGAAAATACAAAAGTCTGATGTTTGTAAAAAATAATTAATTTCAGAAACGGTTTGATCATCCAAAATCGACTTACTTTGATGACTTAATTAATGAAATTATGACTTAATTAATAAAATTAATTAAGTCATCAAAGTAAGTCGTTATAATCATTCTAGTTATTATTCCTTGAATTGTCAATAAGAAATGCAAATAAAATAAGCAAAATTAAAGCTGTAATTTTATTATGCATTATGTATGTAGAAAATATTACTTTAGTATTGAAAAATAACAAATAAACGAGGCTAAAAAAACTAACTACATTTAGGCTTGTGAAATAAGCTGTCCCTTAAATAATATTAATAATTAGGGAAAATTGAATAATATTAATAATTGGATATTATTAATAATTGAATAATATTAATAATTGGGCAAAATCAAATAAAAGATTAATTGAGCAAATCTGAATGACTAATATTAGTTAAGTATGGGGAAGTGGAACTACTATTTTTTATTCAGAAAAAGCACGAAATATTAATGAAGTACAAAATTTGAAAACAATAAGAATTGAAAATGGAAAAAAACTGATAAATTTAATTTAAATTAATACAAAAACGAAAATTAGCATAAAAATAAATGGAAAATTCTGCACTACTAAAAATGTTTAAAAATATAAAAAACATGAAACTTTAAATAGTGAGCAGAATTTGTTTCATTTTATCATTATGAAAATTTAAATAATTAATGATTTGATTAAACACTTTTATATCGCTAAAAATGAAATTCGAACGAATATTAATTAGTTTTTTACATTATATTTGCTTATATCTTATTAAAAGATTATAACTTTTTATTGAAGCATTCATTTTACTACAAAAGATATAATTAACATTATTCAATCCTTTTTGATGACAGTTATTAATAAAATAGTTGAGACACTCATAATGCATATTCTGTGATTTACTGATAGATCAAGATCAAGGTTATGATCAGTCGAAATATATTGATAATTACAGTCAAAGTAACTGATTTCATCCAATTTAATAGACATTTCAAACTAATATTAAATTTATATAATTTTTACATAATAAATTTAGTTTCATGAAAATGCACCAACGTATAATATTTATTTTTAATAAAAGTTTCTGCGTAATCATTTCCTTTTTTTCTTTTTGTCGCTTTAAGATATTTTATAAATGCATACATGGAATAATGAAGTGAAGCTATTATTTTGGGTATAAAATTCAGAAATAATTTTTAGAAAAATTTTCCTGCCAAATATTTTGCAAAAAAAGTAAGTTTCGGCCATGTGGGCATAGCTTTAATATTTTTGGCTTCATTCTTAATAATAAGTAAATGATTGAAATTCTGAGCTTTTATGCAAAGCAATCTTTGAAATGATATACTAATTTTAATAGTTAAAAGTGATAAATAATTTTTCGTGTCTAAATTCATTTAAAATTGCATACAATTTGCTTACTATCAGCAATTAGGCTGTTTTATAGAAAGTTGAAAGAAAATATCTTAGAAAAGTTTTCTTGCAAACTTAAAATTTTAATTAATTAATTAATTAATTAACTGATTAATTATTAATGAGCATATGAGTTGTTACATGAAGTTTTCACAATCTTTCCAATGCACAGTTTAATACGAACAAAATTGTTGAATGATATAAATATTCAAAAATTATAAAAATAATTGTTAAAAAAAAATGGAGTTGAAAAATTCAAAAACTGTATGTAATACAACTTTGCAATGTAAAATTCAAGTGAGGAAAATGCTCAAAGAAACAACGCTTATATGAAAAGTTATCAAAGTTTTTGCAAAAATTATCAAAATTATTATCAAATACGAGAAAATGTGATTAAAAACGCTGAATCCGCTCATTTACAAGCGAAAAATAAATTGAATTCAAAGTATAGAAAATTTTAGTGAGAAGTAAATAGTGAGAGAATAATAAATCCGATTTCACTCTGATTTGATTTCAAAAAAGTGATAATTCAAGTGTAAGCTTTGTTTGTGCTCATTAGAAGTACACGGAAACGTATTCATTAAATTTTTA